TCTTTCATACTTAGGTGCCTTTGCCCGAGCTATTCCTTTCATCCTGCTCCCTTCCCAGCTCTACGCCTACCCCTCCTTGTCTAATGCCTTTTTGTCCTTGGAGACCGAACTCAAAAGCCTCATCCTGTGTTACTGAAATATATGGCACCTAATGATTTCTTTTTTTTTTAAAGATTTATTTTATTTATTTTAGAAAGTGTGTGAGCGGGAGATGGGGCAGAGGGAGGAGGGAGCATCCTCAAGCAGACTCCCCGCTTAGTGCAGTGCCCCTCTTGGGGCTCTCTCCCAGCACCCTGAGATCATGACCTGAGTCAAAATCAAGAGTTGGCCACTTAACGGACTGAGCTTCCCAGGTGCCCCCCTAATGATATCTGTTATTAATTTTGTACTCTGCTACCTCTGAATTACTGTATTTTTGTACAAATTTTGTTCGTTTGATTTTCTGGGTATAAAATCAGATCGTGTGAGAGCAGTAATATTTGATCCACTCTTTCACAGGTTATATGCTTCTAATTTCTTTATCTTCTTTATTTGCATTCCTCCACAACCCTCAGTACAATGTTAAGTAATAGTCATGTTAATGGATATTTCTTAATTGCCTAAAAATGCTTCAGAGTGAATAAACATACTTTATAAGCTAAAAAAAAAAAAAAAAAAGCAGCCTTATCCTCTGAGAACTTATATCCACATACCTGCCCTTTAAATATGAAGGGAAAGGGGGTGGGTCAGATAGCTTTCTTCTTTACATGTTCCTGTAATGTCCTGTGTATACTTTTGTTAGTGTTCTTATTGCAGTACATTTGCACTACTTCTCAAACTTTTCCACATCCAGGCAGAGGAGATTGTATCGGACTTACATATAGCCTGCCTGAAATTTTACATTAATATCACATGTAGTATCTTAGCCTTAAAAAATATATAAAATTTACATCTGATTCCATAGAAAAGGTATAGTTAACCTAATATAAAAACATTTTATTTGTCCTGGAATAAAATTGATCTTTGTCAAAGATGATAATGTTTATTGTGAAATTTCAAGTTTTCTCTGTAAGCTGTCCTGTTTTGTTCTTCAGATGTCTGTGTAACCCAAGTTTGATAAATAGTAAGCACTTTGATGTCAGGAACTAGGTCTTTTATCTCTGGAGTCCCAGCATTAAACATAGTATCTAATACCCAGTAGATGTTCACTATTTATTTAAAAAAAAAAAATGAATGAATGAATGAATGAACAAAAGTTCAGTTTTGTAATAATAGTGTTAGATGTTAGCATTGTTAAACATTTTAGATATTTTTCCCATAGAAAAAATATGACTAATGACACTGTGAAAGTCATGCATTTTTAAAAATCATTTTCTGGCCTATACAATGTAACAAAACTTTAAAAAGAAACCATCTATAGGGGTGCCTGGGTGGCTCAGTCGGTTAAGCGTCTACCTTTGGCTCAGGTCATGATCCCAGGGTCCTGGAATCAAGCCCCACATCGGGCTCCCTGCTCAGTGGGGAGTCTGCTTCTTCCTCCCCACTTGCCCTGCTTGTGCTCTCTCTCTATCAAATAAATAAACAAAATCTTAAAAAAAACTTTTTATAGTTAAAAGTATAAAATATACAGGAAAGATCACATTGTAAGTGTTCAGTGCAATGAATTTTCACACACTCAACAGTTTCACATAACTAACACCCATATAAAAAAAACAAAACTTCACCTGCCCCTCAGAACTCCTTCCATGCTCTCATTGTGTCACTGAAACCCTTTATATCAGCATATATTTGTTTTGCAAAATCATTTTATACTTGAGTGTGATTTAAGACAAGTAACCGATTGAATAGAGTATTTGTTATTCCCATGACAAGTTAGTGATTTAGTGATCATTACTACTAGCCAACATTACAAAATGTAAAAAATAATTAATTTTAAGTACTATTTTCAGTAGTTTGCTTTAGTACTAACTAGAAAAAAGTAATTAAAATTATTCGTAATGCCCATACACTTGTATACTATTCAACACAAACATTTTGATAATAAGCATTAAGTAATAATCATTTTAGCTTTTGCATTAAATAATTAATGAGCAGTAAATTCTTTTGAGCTTTTATGCCTAATTCTCAAATTACCCTGATTTTTGTTTGACCTTCTTTTGTTTGTTTAGAGTAGTAATTCTCAATGGGGAGGGAGCCCGATTTTGTCTCCCAGGGGACAGGCATTTGGCAGTATCTGGAGACATTCTTGGTTGTCATAACTGGAGAGTGCTACTGACACCTAGTGGGTAAAGGTCTGGTTGCTGCTAAACTTAATTCGCAGAACAGACCCCCACAAAAAAGAATTATCTGGCCCAAAATGTCAATAGTACTGAAGTTGAGAGCAATATTTTCTAAAGATTGAGTGGGTTGTGTTTGATTTAGATTAGTTCAAACAGGTTATAGCACCATACTAATAATGTACAAGGTATTAGGACTTTAATTTCCCTAGGCATTAGCTCATCTTTCTGTGTAGTTTATTCACCAGACCCCAAACAGATGTCTTGAACATTTGCTAATGATTATAAGAAGAATGAGATGAGACAATGTAGAAGTATAAATCTATCACCACTTCTGGCAAAAGTCTCAAATCCAGCTCTCTTAATAATATTTTCTTGCCATCTGTTGGGAGGCGTTAAATAGAGAATCTAGTTGCTCTCCACAAACATTCATGCGTACTCACACACCTCTATGCCATTCGTTTCTTCCAGTGATTATGGAAGGTTAGAAACACTGGAGTGCAGGGTGCCCAAGTGGTATAATCGGTTAAGTGTCCAACTTCTCATTTCTGTTCAGACCATGATCTCAGGGTCGTGAGATGGAGCCCTGCCTCAAGCTCTACGCTCAGCGCAGAGTCTGCTTAAGATTCTCTCTCTCCCTCTGCCCCTCCCCCTGCTCACTTGCACTTTCTCTCTCTCTCTAAAATAAATAAGTCTTAGAAACACTGGAGTGCACATAAATGCCAGTAACAAAGTTGGAAATTAATATCTAATAAAGTTGTTTTTCGTGGCTGTTTCTTAGGAAGTAGATTTTTGTGTATTTCAATGTCATCTTGCGAGCTTGTTCTGGTCTTGACAAGTTGACCTGCCCTGAGCAAAGAGTCACATTTGAGGCATAGTCTTAAAACATTTGTTGTGCGGTGGCGCCTGGGTGGCTCAGTCGTTGAACGTCTGCCTTTGGCTCAGGTCATGATCCCGGGGTCCTGGGATCGAGCCCTGCATCGGGCTCCCTGCTCAGTGGGAAGCCTGCTTCTCCCTCTCCCACTCCCCCTGCTTGTGTTCCCTCTCTCGCTGTGTCTCTCTCTGTCAAATAAATAAACAAAATCTTTAAAAAAAAAAAAATTTGTTGTGCAAGAAAGAATTAATGACAATATATACCAATTCTGACTTTATTATATAAAATATTGCTCTAAAAGTATTAGAGAACACAACAAACCAAGATTTATATAGTTGGAATTATAAATCTACAAGTCTGTAAACTTAATGAAAATTAGCTTAGAATTTGGCATTTGATTCTACTTATTTAACTGTGAAAGCAGATACAAATGAAAACATTACATGAAGAAAATTAAGGCCAATTTGAATAAAATAATCTCTGTTTTATGTTGTAGCTTTTTTATATTATGGGAGTATGGATTTTATTAGTATTTTTTTGTTATCCTAAGAAGAAGTAAAATAGTTCATAGATGTCTAGGCCTTTTCCAGTCTTTTTTTTTTTTTTTAAGATTTATTTGTCAGAGAGGGAGGGAGCACGAGCAGGGGGAGGGGCAGGCAGAGGGAGAAGCAGGCTCCCCACTGAGCAAAGAGCCCGATGCGGGACTCAATCCCAGGGTCCTGGGATCATGACCTGAGCCGAAGGCAGCCATTTAACTGACTGAGCCACCCAGGCGTCCCGCCTTTTCTAGTTTTGATATATTTGATGTTTGAGAGGATGCATTAGCTTTCATGTCAGATCTAGGTCCAAATTCTGCCATTTATGAACTCTTCGGCCTTGGATCTGAAAACTCTATTGGCCTGCTTTACCGCCGTAAAAGAAGGGACAATACTTAATGATAGAGTCACAAGAATTAAATAAGATAGTAAAAGAATGGCCAACAGGAGGGAAGGATAAATATTATTTGGAGTCATTGGTTCATTTGTGAGTGGATTATAGTGGTCAAGAGCATAGGTTTTGGAGTCAGTGAACCAGGGTTTAGACTCTGCCTTTGTTGTCTCTTACTGCCGATAAGGAGGGATTGAATTCGTAACTGCCAGAAGCAGCCCACACAGTCCCTGGCACAGGGTAGGCACCAGCAAGTGGAAGTCATGAGTGCCTGGAATGTTCTGAGTTCTGTCAGATAAAATGTGGTACTTAGTCCCTTAAGAAGTTTATCACACTGCATGCTGAGTCTTAAAAATTGGGGAGCTAATACTGTTAATTATTTTTAGTTTACTTAATAATGCTTAGTTTAAATAATGCTAATCAGCATAAGTAGTAATACTAATAATGTGAATGGTATATTTGGAACAAAGTTTAAGTACTTTTGTTTTCCTACCTTGGCTGTAATTTTCAGAGCGCTTCACAAACTGTGGAGAATGAGGGGGCAGGGCCAGAGAGGAATCACGGAGACCAGTGTGAATGCTGTGCAGTAGTGGGCTATGATGAGCCCCAAGTTAGGGTGGAGGCAGGGGTGGTGGTGAGAACATTAAGACTGAACTCAAGGCTTGAAATTTGATAAAATAAGCAGCTTCACTGTTGCACCAAGAATATTCCTAAGGGAAATTGGCATCTTTTTTTTTTTTTTTTTAACAGCGAGTACTTGGCAGAGAATATAAAACCTAACAATATAGTTTGGTGCCACTGTCTTCATTCTTAGCAAGATACCAACAGCCCTACCAAGCATTGCTTTTGCACCTTCGATGCTAATGTCAACACAGTGACATGCTGAATTTTTAAATGTGCTGTTTCTGGTAACCATGGCCCGTCCTCTCCCTCTTTGACTGTAGATCCTAATTATCTCATGGCTAACGAACGCATGAACCTGATGAACATGGCCAAGCTGAGTATCAAGGGCTTGATTGAATCTGCTCTGAACCTGGGGAGAACTCTGGACTCAGACTATGCACCCCTCCAGCAGTTCTTCGTGGTGATGGAGCACTGCCTGAAACACGGCTTGAAGGGTAGGCCATGGCCCCAGGATGCAGATGTGCACGCAGCTGTATTCTGGCAATACATGCTCGAGAGGAAAAGCGGTCTTTATGGAGCCAAAGAATAAGAGGCTTGAATTAGTAATACTAACCTACTGGAATGCCCCCTATATGGACACAGGGATGTGGTTGAATTAAAGGGCATACAGGGCTTACAAAACACTGGTTACTAAATGCTAGAGCTGGAACAGACATTACTGTCTAATACGGTCCTTCTGTTTGACAGGTGGAAACAAGGCCTAGAATGGGAGGTAACTTGCCCAAGGTCACACAGTGGACTCTTGGCTGTTGTGCTCCTCCACTTAACCATAAGCTTTTGAGGGCAGGACCTGGTCTTGTTCTCCTTGCTTCCTATCCTTCTCCCTCCCCAGTATCTAATAGCCTGTTTCTGGATTACGTATTCTTTTCCTTTGGAAAGAATACGTAATCCAGAAACAGGCTATTAGATTTGAATCAAAGCAGTTGATTCGTGGCAATTAGTGGTCCTCACTAATACCATGCAGCTTTAAGTACTGTATTCTTAAAATGTTTTATTATATCATAGAGCTAGTTATAAGTTCTTCCTGAAAGAGGAAGGACTGAGTCTTGGGAAGTGGGAGATTTTTGATTGTCACAAAATGTTACCTGTTCTGAAAGCATGAATAGTTTTAGAACTGTCTGATAATTTAGGTCTAGTTCCCTGAGAAAAAGGAATGAACAGATGAGAGAGAAGTGTGTGTATGTGTTTATGTTTTGAGGGCATGTTTATGTTGTAAAGAATATTGAAATACTGTTTTGTTTTTATCACCTTAGCTAAGAAAACTTTCCTTGGACAAAATAAATCCTTCTGGGGGCCTCTAGAATTGGTAGAAAAGCTTGTTCCAGAAGCTGCAGAGATAACAGCAAGTGTTAAAGATCTTCCAGGACTTAAGTAAGTTTAAGGTTGAATTCTGTTAGGAAAACATTCTTTACTAATTATCTCCTTGAAGACTAAAGATAATGATGACCATAATAATTTATTTCATAACAATCCAAAAAGAATACTCTATTTATGAATCGGCACTGTTGTGAGAGAACTGCTAATATAGAATATTAAGAGAAGGGTGCCTGTGAGGGATAATTGTTCTTAATTTTAAAGAGGTTATATTCATATTAAAAGACCAAACATTTTCTTATTTTTTAAAGCACTTGTGGGAATCAGTTCAAGTCTCAAGAAATTAGATCTAAGGAGGGATCGTGCTAGACATGACTGAAAAAAAGAATGTGTTCAATGCAGTTTGAGAGGCAAGATTAAAACAGTTGTCAAGTGAACCTCAGCAACGGACACCAGGAACCTGCCTCAGAACTGGAAAAAGCATAGTAACCATCTTCCCAAATTAGACTCGTTTAACTTTAATCAGATAGAGGCCTAAATGGACTGTGTCACATTACTAGTATTTGGGTACTTACATGATCCACACTAAGTCTGAGGATTTACCAATGCTAATGTGATGGAACATTTTCAGTTGGGCCTCCCGGAGGTTTTGTCTTCAAATCGTAGTCTCATTCAGTAATTCTTCACAAGAGCACTTGTTCCAAACCCACCCCTCCCAGACCCACGAGCCCCTTCATCCCACCAGCCCACACAGAATTCCTCACATAGGAATGAGGTGGAGGAGGTTGTAAGGAGCACCTCAGTGTGCATGTTATACTGGGGACTATTAGCAAGAGTAAGTGAATCTGTCCCACAGTGGCCCCCAGCTCTGCTACTTTGAGTTGTTTGGTTCCTTTGTTTCTGTAGGACACCAGTAGGCAGAGGAAGAGCCTGGCTTCGTTTGGCATTAATGCAAAAGAAACTCTCAGAATATATGAAAGCTTTGATCAATAAGAAGGAACTTCTCAGGTATGAACACCTTGTTAAACTTTGTTCTTTTCTTGCTATGTTCTACATTGTATGAGGTTGAATCAGAAATTTGCCATTTTCGCAGATGAAAAGCAGTTGATTCGTGGCAATTTCATGTAGTTCAACTTAATACCTTCTCCCATACCTCACACACACCTATTCAAGAATAGATGTTTATTTGTTACATATGTTTAGTCTGTCACTGTGGCATATACACAGGGCAGGCCAAAATGTAATACCCCCCAAAAAACAGGAAAGGCTTTTGACACCTTAGCATGTACCCAGACCCAATAAGACAGGAAGTTGACACGTAACATGAAATTTAAAAACAACATACACAAAAAACTTTCCAGGTGGATTATAGATACAAACGGGAAAGAGAAAACAGTAAAACTTTTAGAAAAAAATATAAGGTAGACAAAAATTTCTTAAACAAGACATAAGAAGCTCTACCCCTAAAGGAAAAAATGGATACATTGGTCTACATTAAAATGAAGAACTTCATTCATCAAGAAACAAGGTTAAAAGGCAACCTGTAGAGTAAAAGGAGATATTTGTAATATATATATTCAACAAGTGATGCATATTCAGGGTATGTGAAGAACTCCTTCAGTCCAGTAAGAAAAAGACAAGTAAATGTAAAAATGAGTTAAGGATTTGAACAGGCATTTCACAAAAGAAAATCAAAATGGCTAGTAAACATAAAAAAGAGGGGCTCCTGGCTGGCTCAGTCAGTAGAGCATGAGACTCTTGATCTCCCAGTCCTGACTTCAGTCCCACATTGGATGTAGAGCTTACTTTATAAATATATATAGGGGTGCCTGGGTGCCTCAGTTGGTTAAGTTGTCTGACTGTTGGTTTTGGCTCAGGTCATGATCTCAGGGTTGTGGGCTGGAGTCCCACCTCAGGCTCCACGCTCAGCAGGGAGTCTGCTTGAGGATTTCCTCCCTCTGCCCCTCTCCTCACTCATAAGCACACATTTTCTCTCTCTCTCTCAAATAAATACATCTTTAAATTATATATATGTATATATACACACACATAAATATGTACGTAGATTCACTAGCTGCCATGTAAATACAAATTAGAATAACAGTGTGGTACCACTACACACCCACCTATAAATAAAGCAGATCTGAGGCAAATTTTGAAAAACAGACCAATTTTTTAAAGACGCTTTAAGATTGAAAAATTATCCCTTGCATCTCAGATACAAATATGTGGGGAAAGCATAAGTAATCACTTCAGTGAAAATACCATTCTGGTCACTTTTCTTTCAGCTGGACTATTATCTAGAGTCTATTCATGTACTTATTATCTAAAATATACTATCCAAGCCATCCTTTTTTTTTTTTAACTTTTTTGCTATTATCATAGTACCCATATTCAACTATGAGGCCAGCATTTTCTGCTTGTCTCGAGATTACATCATTGGATTCTTGAGGTTTTATTATTGGCATTACGTGAATTTCTCTTACAGCGAATTCTATGAACCCAATGCCCTCATGATGGAAGAAGAAGGAGCCATAATCGCTGGTCTCCTGGTGGGTCTGAATGTCATTGATGCCAATTTCTGTATGAAAGGAGAAGACTTGGACTCTCAGGTATGCAAAAGATGCTCAGTTACCAAGTGGGTCACTCTGAGTTCTATTATCTCAGAATTTGGATGGATCAGATTATACCAACCAAATTAAGGGAAATTCTGTGAGTCATAAATGGGATTTTTAAATTTTTGATGTGAATATAAACAATATCTTTGTTTTTCCTTCTAACTTGACTCATTTATGTATTATGAATGTTTTTCAAATTCTTATCTTGACTGTAATCCCTGTTTAAAATATTTTGTACAGACTGGGGTGCCTGCGTGGCTCAGTCAGTTAAGCATCTACCTTCGGCTCAGGTCATGATCCCAGGGTCCTGGTCAAGCCCCACATCAGGCTCCCTGCTCAACAGGAAGCCTGCTTCTCCCTCTCCCACTCCCTCTGCTTGTGTTCCGTCTCTCTCGCTGTCTCTCTCTCTCTCTGTCAAATAAATAAATAAAATCTTTAAAAAATAATAAAATAAAATAAAAATAAAATATTTTGTACAGACTAAAATACACACACACAAGCTAAAATATATACACGGCCATGGTAGTTACAAATACAGACTGAAGCCAAACTGTTTAGGTTCAAATTCTGCTTCTTTATTTTTTAGCTGAATAAATTTTGTAGTTAGTTTCTTGATGCTTCACATTTCTTAGCTGTAATACAGGGACAAAAAAAGGATATCTCTATTTCATAGATTTATAGTGTGGAATAAAAGAGTTAGTACATGTGATGCACCTTGTGCAGAGCCTGAAACATAATTAATTGCTCAATAAATAAAGCTTTCACTCTCACACTGATTCTTTCTCACCCGTTCTCTATGAAATTCTACAGCAAATTTCTGTTACTTTTTACTCTGAGAAAATGGGAAAGGAAGTAGGATATTTTGACCTGGATTTTAAAAAAGAAATAAGCTGAATAATAAAAGCAGTCCTGAAAAATTTAGACATAGTGCATCAATGAGAATTTGGAAGAATAAATACCAAAATGTTACAGTGGTGGTTGGGACTATAGGTATTTTGTATTACTTCCTTTTACTTATTTGTATTTTCTGAAACTTTTTTAAGGAAATGTGCGTTCTTTTTGTAATTAGAATTTTTAAAACATTATTCCCAAAAGTGAATAGGGTTCAGTAGCAGAATACTTGAGAGAAACAAAAGAGAAAGAAACTTTAAGCCTTAAATTTATAATAAGTGTTCTGTTGACTTTCTTAGAGTCTTGTGTTGACTTGCATGACCTGGTCTTCTGGTCCTGTTGCCTTAATCTCGATGCTTTACTTACTTTCAACCCCTTTTCAAGTTCTTGACTACATTACGTTTTCATCAAAAGTTTCAAATAATGGCTATGACTTTATTACTGTTTAGAATGCCCAGAAAGAGACATTATATTATGCCTTGGAAAAAGTATCTAATTTTATATTAAATTCTGAAAATTCTCTCTGTAGGTTGGAGTTATAGATTTTTCAATGTATCTCAAGGATGGGAACAGCAGTAAAGGTAGTGAAGGGTATGTACAGAGAAAATCAAGTTTCTTTTTTCTTTAATGTTCTTTGATAGCATTTAAAGTTTACAACAGTAGTGCTTTAACAGACTTGCTGAAAGAATTTCTGATGATAATAGTTTTAATAGAGTCTTGTCAAAAAGAGCTGACTCTTGTGCCTCCTAAACCCTAAAAGAGGTTGTAGTTAAGTGATTTTCCTACTGTGTGGTTCAGTGGCTAACAAAGTAAAGGGGCTTATAAAGGAATTCAGTGCTCCATCTCTTGAAGTAGTGTTGGAAAACATGGTCTTCTTGATCATGACGATTGCCCTCTCGGTTTTGTTAGAATGTGAAATATGAAACATGCATTATGGACTTACATGAAATGTTGACATTAGGAGTAACAGAGTGAGGAGTATATGGGAACTCTGCACTACTGTTTTAAGTCTTGTAAATCTAAAATCATTTCAAAAAAGTTTTTAAAATATCCATATGGTCCTTAGAAATTAAACACCAGAAGAGTACTACCTAATACCCTTTATAAATTTAGCAGTTGAAAGCACAATTAATCTGAAGTTCTTAACTTTGGACATTGAGCCAAGACTATATCGTTTTTTCTTTAAGTGTAGTGCTAGAGGTATGTGGCCTTGATTTGACTTTAATTGAAAAGTCTGGCTTTTTAACTTGCCTGTTACAAATTAGCTGGTTCCAGAAGTGAACCTCCTGTCTCCCCTCTTTATTTTCTCATATAACAATAAACACTTGATCTTTATGAAAGCTTTTTATACCAATCACTTTGAAATAAAATTAACATTGAAAGGCAAAATTATAGCCTTTGGGAAGAACTATTATTATACCAAAATCAGTTTAATTCAATTCCTATGACAAATGGAAAATTGTTATAAGTAGTACCGGCAAAGCTAAAAAGGTTATCAATTGTGAGAAGAAAATTTTTATTTTTTTAAATGCCTCTGATAGAATGTAATGTTATACCTATAACCTAAGTTATTAAGGTATGTAAGCTATAATAAAGGCTTTTTAATGTGGGGAATTTTTTGTTTCATTTTTAAGTATCTCAGTCATTCTTCTTGGAGACATTATACATCAGGTCTATCTTTTGATTCAGTGTATCTGTGCTACGGTTTTTCTTTCTATGTTATATGAAAAGATTGGGGAAGGGAGGATCTTGGTACTTCTAATGTTACTTATTTTATTTCTATTCCCCACTCCACTCCACCGCACCCCAGAGATGGCCAGATTACTGCAATTCTGGATCAGAAGAACTATGTAGAAGAACTCAACAGACATCTAAAGTAAAGAATGAATAAATACTTTTACTTTCCTGGGGATTTTGTTGTGAAGGAAAGGAAGAGTAAATTGATGAGCCATGAGGATAAATTCAGGCGATACTCAACAAAAATACATAGAATTCCTGCTTGCCAGGCACTGAGCTAGGCACTAAATTAAATGTCATTTAACTATTTTGGTGACCTTTAGTGAAAGGCAGTATAAGATTAGTAAGTAATTACAACTCTAGTGATTAAGTATATAAGAATTCTTAAACATGTGACATACGCAGTTCAAAGTGGCAGCCCTCTTGGTTCAGTAGATCCAACCACATATTTCAAGACCAATTGTGGGCAAACCACTCATTGCCTTAGTACCTTTAGATTAGTTGTATCATGTTGGTCCGTTGCATTTTTCATTTATACATTGAATTGATAGTATTAACTTACCCTCTCTTCACCGTCACTATCATTAATTTACCAAATACTCACTATTTTTCAGAACTGTCCAGAACATGAAACGGTCTTTTGGTATTCTCAAGTACATTGATGTTCTTGTTATGCTAAAGACTGTCAAATAATTCTGAAAAATTAATACATCGATTATTATTTTTTCATAATTCTCTTATAAAGATAATTTAAGTAAGATCTATAATATGATTATACCAGTATCAGTATAAATTTTGAATAGTCTTGGGGCGCCTGGGTGGCTCAGTCGTTAAGCGTCTGCCTTCGGCTCAGGTCATAATCCCAGAGTCCTGGGATCGAGCCCCATATCAGGCTCCTGCTCAGTGGGGAGCCTGCTTCTCCCTCTCCCACTCCCCCTACTCGTGTTCCCT